GTGTGTGTGTGTGTGTGTGTGTGTGTGTGTGTGTGTGTGTGTGTGTGTGTAATTATCATATTTTATTACTATAATAATACTGATAGAATTTTGTTGGACTAATATTCAACAACAAATTATTTTCAGATTCCGAGTAAGGAGAGCATCGAGACGCTGTCTGCACTCGAGATTGCTGAACAGATGACATATCTAGATCATCATATATTTATTTCCATCGCTAGCGAGTAAATAACATTGCTAATATTGCTAAATCATATCGCTGCTGTTTGACATATAGACATTTATGCTATATAGACATTTACTTTACAGAGAATTTCTTGGACAAGCGTGGATGAAGACGGACAAGGCAACTCGCGCGCCTCATATTCTTCTCATGACGAAAAGATTCAACGAAGTATCGCAATTGGTTGTTTCCGAAATTATTCGTCGTTCCAATATGTCGGCCAGAGTCGCGGCTATCGAGAAATGGGCTGCGGTTGCTGATATCAATAGGGTTTTGCATAATTACAACGGTGTGCTGCAAATTTGCGCTGCGTTCACAAACAGTAGCGTATATAGGCTGAAGAAAACTTGGGATAAGGTTTCCAAAACGGTATGTTACTTGAAATGAATTCCTGAATGATTTATAAATCCAATTTCATACGTAATTCGTTTAGTTCGGTAATAATTTGTGTAAATTCTCCAAAGTGTCTGCACTTGTACTTATAACACACTAAAATACATTAAATTAACTCGATCTATTTGCAAATTATAAATACTTCAAAATTGTGTCGTAATCAAATCGAACAATTTGTAGATATACTTAGCAAAACTTGGGAAAAACTACGGAAACCAATTACCTTCATTTTTTCACGAAAAGAAAAAGGTTTTGCTGAAGAATCTAAAAACTAACTAGATCTGAAGATGATTTGTTGGATTATCAAAATAATTATGTAGAATGTTTAAATAATTATGTAGAATTATGGTCGCTAGAATGTCAAAACTTTTTACAGCATTATTCATCAAATTAAACTCCTTGCATAATTATTTTGCTGATTCAACAAAACTATTCTTAGTTCTGTGTATCCACCAAAATTTGTAGATATTATGTAGCAAAATCGTTCTTTCGTGTATATATAATTATTTTTATTGAACAGTAATAAAGCGTTATAATTAACACATGTTTGCAGATATAACTTCTTTGTTTATTAATTTCCAGACAAAGCAAACGATAGAAAGACTACAGCATATCGTATCATCCGATGGACGCTTTAGAAATTTGCGGGACGCCTTGCATCGATGTGATCCACCTTGTATCCCTTACTTAGGTCTTTATCTTACCGACCTTTCGTTTATTGAAGAGGGTACTCCAAATGTCACCGAAGGTCTTTTAAATTTCTCAAAAATGCGAATGGTGAGCTTCTTCAATTTTACTTAAAATTTATATTTTACATTCCTTCTTATCAAATCCTTTAATCTGTTAGCATAAATATAGAGGATTTGAAGAATGATTTGTTTAAAATTGATATACGTTTAATTAATTATTTTATGTTATGTTTTTTGCTATACAGTGAAGATATTTTGTATTTGTATTAAAGTCAATTCTTGTTACAATTTTTGTGTTGAATTCTTAACATACCCGAGTATAATGATAGTGTTATTTTGTAATTATTAAAATTGATATTCAACATTTGTTAGTGTTAAAATAACACAACTTGCAAGTATACAAATGAAAATAATTTAAATATTTCAAAATATTAGTTATAAGATAAATGAGTAAAGTGTATTAATTATAAGATAAATGAGTAAAGTATATTAAATATATTATAAATATTAATTTTACTGAAGAAATATGCTTTTACAATTTGTTTATCAATTATATCAATGTTACATTTTTTACATGACATTTATATTATTTTCTAACATATTTATCTTTATATTAAATTAACACAAAATTTTGATGGATCGTTTGGGATAAAATATTGGATTGTTCAAAAAGTCATTGCGTTTTTTCCAATAGATGGCGTTGTCCACGTTTATTTGTATGCAAGCGTGACATGAATGTCAAATATTTACGCGCGTTTTGTTGTTGACACCTAAAAATAAAAAAAAAAGTTGATGCGATTCGATCGAGTTTTGTGCTTGCAATTGTGGTTCGAACATAGAGAATTTTGAAGAGCATATTCGTCATATTCTGTTTTATTTATTTCCCTTCAAAAAAGGGAAGAAAGCAACTGAAGCAAGGGAAAAGTTGCGTCGAGTTTACAGAAATGTCGTCAAAAAACGTCAGTGCCAGAACTGGTTCGCCCGATTCCGTGATGGTGATTTTTCAGTCAAAGATGTTCATCGTTCCGGTAGGCCTTCCAAGATTGACGACGATGAAATGAAAGCATTGCAAGCAAATAAGCATTCAACGATTCGAGAGCTTGCTATCGCTCTAAAAGTATCCGTTGGAAGTGTTCATGACCATTTGAAATCGCTAGGCTTCGTAAAGAAGCTCGATGTTTGGATACCGCATGAGTTGAAAGAAATTCATCTGACGAATCGCAGATGAATGAGCGTTCGCGATCAACTCATCAAACGCGAAGAAAACGTTCCGTTCTTGAAGTGTATGATTACGGGCGACGAAAAATGTTTACAACAATGTCAGCAGCAAAAAGAAGTTGAAGTAGGCGAGGTGAAGCACCGGAAAGGCAAGCAAAGGCGGAGATACCAAAAGAAGGTAATGCTGTCAATGTGGTAGAATTAGAAGGGACCAGTCTTCTATGAGCTGTAATACTTCCAAAAAACAAAACAATTAATTCCGATGTCTACTGTGAGCAGCTGCAGAAATTAAATGATGCCATCGCACAGAAACGTCCCGAGCTAATCAATCGTAAGGGTGTGGTGTTTCACCACGACAATGTGAGACCACACACAAATTTGGTCACTCGGCAAAAATTGTCGCAACATGGTCGGGATGTTACCACATCCACCATATAGCTCAGACCTTGCACCAGACTTCCATCTCTTTCACTCCTTGCAAAACTCCTTGAATGGTAAAACGTTTGCTTCTGAAGATCTCAAACTGCACCTAGACAAGTTTCTCGCAGAAAAGGATGGGAAGTTTTATGAACGTGGTATTATGAAGTTGTCCGGGAGATGGCAGAAGGTCATCGAACAAAACGGCCAATATATCATTGATTAATGTTCATTACATATATTAAATAAACACATCTGAAAATCAAATGAAAAAAACGCAATGACTTTTTGAACAACCCAATAGGTTCAATTTATCACAAATTTTTTAATTATGTATTCACATTAATGAACAAGTTACGAGAAGATATTGTGTGCCTTTTCAGATTTCTCACGTAATCCGCGAGATACGGCATTTCCAACAAACCCCCTATAAGATCGAATTGGTCACGAAGGTAACCAACTATCTACTCGACACATCGCTCCTGCTGAACGAGAAGGATCTGTATCGTATGTCCTTGGAACTCGAGCCCAGAACATCTAGGTTGAGTAGTTCTACTTTAATCGATCTACCCCCTTCGGTCAGCAACGTGTCTACAAAATGAATTAATTTTATTTTAATATACT